TAACATTAAAATATATTTTGTGATTCAAATCTTTATATAGTACAAGTTTAAATTTTTTAATTTCAAAATGAAAATATTCAAAAAATCTTAAACTTGACTTGTCTGTGTCATGTGATGTACTTGCACTCTGAACTGTCCATTTTAGATTTTCTTTCTACTGTTATATGATTTTTTGAGTGCTCAACTACATTACAAACACATACTATAGATTAAAAAAAGTAACACATCATTTAAATTGCAATTATTTACTATCGGAACAACAAAGACATTTTGCTATATGTTTTGGCCATCATAACACAGAATGAAAACAAACAACAGTAAATATACTACATTTAAAAACCTGTTCCAATAAATGTGTGTGTGTGTACATATATTTACATTATACATAAGGTATATATTCGACATAAATATAAAACAATACACAAAATATATTGTTATTAAATATTTATATACATATTGCTAATCTAATTACAGTTGGAGACTGAAATTTCTGGACCTTTGTCTTTGATTAAAGAAATAGTTTTGTGTTTAATTACTTTCAATGATACTCTTACATTCACTGCAGTGTAATTACTTGGGAAATAAATTAATTCAGTCTCATCCCATAGGATATGGTGTTTAAGTTAATAGTACACCTTTTATACCTTAAAAAGTACAATTTTTATTTTTTATGGCAAGTTTGTGTACCTGATGATGACAAAACCTTGTCGAAACGTTGTACATTTGCTGTCATGTTAAACTTAAATTAAAGTTTTTCTTCATTACCCATTTAAGCCGTCTCCAGCCATTATTAGTCTCAAAGTGGGTTCCTCATCATCGAAAGTTTGTGTTTGTTGAAATGAAATTTTAGTTTATGAATTGTTTGACCTACAGACTGTTTAATTGACAATTTATTTTATAAATTCAATTTTGTTCAAAGCTGTTAGTTATCTTTCAATGAAGAAAGATTACAAAGTTTTCCTATTTGGTTTGACATCTTAGGGAAAAAAGGTGGGCAAATAACTTTAACAGCTGAAAATGTTGTGAGATCAGACAAATTCACTTTACGAGTTACTTTCTTAATAGCTTTATTGATGATTATTGCATCATATTATCTATCTAGAGCCACATGTTTAAGATAGTTTTAATGGAATCAATAAATGTGGCCAAAACATGCAGCAAAATATGTTTTTGCAATAATAAATAACTATGGTTTAAAATGTGTATTACTTTTCTTAATTATCACAAGATATAGGATTAAACCAGTTACATATTATACATGCTGAGAAGTCAGAAAACAAAGTTAGAACCTCTAAATCTTCTTGCTTTACTGAGGTATAAAAAAAAATTCAAACCCTCAAACATACCCTCCTGTACCATTGTCTTTCAAAAATTGTTAATAATTCTCTCTGATGTTGCTAATGAATTATTTACAACCAATAGAAAGAACAGCTTTTTTCTTTAGAAGATTCTTTTAATAGGTTATTTCGTTTCTGTGATTGTAATTAGATACTTAGCCTTTAGTTTCGTTGTCTGCCATCGTGGTGTTCAGTTTGCGCAGCTTATAGAATTATTTAACCCATTTATAGCTTAGTTAGAAAGCCAGTAAAATCAGTTTTAAGACATTCTGTTTTAGTGTATGATATCTTTTTGTGTTTAAAATGCATAATTTTGAGGGTAACAAACAGTCACAAAAATTTAGGTTTAGAGTGCCTAACTCATCAAAGACAAAAGGCTTGTGCCTGAAGTAAGTATTGAATTTCTTGTTTTTTTATGCATATTTTTTTTATTTGATGTTATGAAAGTAACAGAAATGAAAATATAAGAACTTCATCAGTTAGATAAGAAAACTTAAATGAAAGAAAAATTAAATAGAAAAATTTCTCATAATAGTTAATATCCTAGCACAGCACATTGAGTAGCATGACTGTAATGAGATTTCTTGTTTCCAAAGCTATCCTGTTCTGATAAATGATTTTAGAGTACTCTAAGATGGTCTAAGTACAGCTGCAAAGCAATTAAATAAAAATTAAAATAAAACAAGATGTGAAAAGCTGATGCTACAAGAATAAATAAGTAACTATTTGTTGTAATATGCAGTCATTGCTGAAAGAAACAGGAGAGAATACTCAATAGCCACAGCACTTGAAATTATTGTAGGCAGGATTAGAGTAAATTAATCTGAGACATTTTTTTTCCTTTTTATTAGCTATATTTTTGTGTGTCAACAATACCAAGCATGGATCAAGTGTATACCTGATTTTATTTTATTACTCATCAGGATCTTTACCAGCCTACCCTGAAATTGAAATTCTTTTTGGCAGGATTAGAGTAAATTAATCTACAAGATCTTGGGCATGGTCAAATACACCAATCAAAAGGGTTTGATCTCCTGAGTCCAAAACTGTAAACAGATCTTAAATCGGTGAAAAGATGAGAGATGATGAAGCTATGAGCTAAATGTTTGTTCTTGAAAAAAAAGTCATTCTATGACCACTAAGCTGTGGCTAAAGATTGTAATTTAGATTTATTTCATGTTATACACATCTTCATTTTACCCGACATTGTTGATTTCACTACAGTTAGTACTCGATAGAGAAAATAACAGATAAAATATAAAGTTTTACCCCCCTCCCCCCCAAAAAAACAAATATTCATTTAAGAGTTCGATGACGAGGAACCCACTTTGAGACTAATAATGGCTGGAGACGGCTTGAGTGGGTAATGAAGAAAAAC